AAATGAAATGTTGCCGAGTTCGTTATTTGGTACCCCATGAACGAGCCCGGTATTAAAAAAAAAACAGCGTGACTCCATAAGTGTTTGCTTGTGCCTATTTTCTCGGAGAAAATCAATTGCGTGATCATGTATGAAATTCAAAATCATTTGTCGTGATGACAACGACGATTTGTCGTAACGATGACATGCAACATGTTGACAATTCAGAATCATATGACAAGATGAGGTGCATGGCATAATTATGACATGGCAAAGCACACCGCATGACGATGACGAGGAAAAATTATTGTATTACATGGCAAAATCATGCATAACTTATCTTAACGATGATGTGGCAAGGCGCATGAATGACAATGTCGTAGCAAAACATTCAAATGTCACGGCAATGACATGGCAAAATCATGTTGCACGTGTCGTAACAATAACATGGTAAAGGCACACAACATGACGATGACGTGGCAAAACTTGCAGATGTCACAATGATAACATTGGAATATTATGTTGAGTACCTGTCATGACGATGCATGCCAAATCATGAAGAATAAGGAACTGCACGATAACCATTCTGGTTCTGTCCAGAAATGATTTGTTGTACCCATAATCAGTTTTGGACCAGAAATCCGTTTGTTAACGCAATTTCATTTTTCTATTTTTGGGACAAGTTTTTGTTCCAGAACCGATTCTGAACCAAAAATCAGAACAAAAAAAAAGTTGGTTTTCTATTTCTAGACCAAGGCTCCGTTCGTTTGGCGGAAAATATTCTCCTTTTGGAAAATATTTTCCCAAAAGTCATTTTCCTGGAAAATATTTTCTCGGAACATAATTTTCCGGTGTTCGGCGATCAATATGAAAAAGTTTCGGAAAATATTTTTCGTCGGCGACAGGTGGCGGCGGCGGCCGGCGACCGGCGGTGGCCAGGCGACAGCGGCTGCGGGCGGCCGTCGACCCCGAGAGCTATGCGAGCACGTGGCGGCGACGTGGCCGATACGCGGCGGCGGCCGGCGACCGACGGCGGCGGCGGCGGGGCGGCGGCGGCGCGCGGACCGGCGGCGGCCGGCGGCCGGCGGCAGCGGCGGCGGCCGCGACCGCGGCGGCGCCTTGGCGGCGGCGGGTCATGGCGGCGGCGGCTGCCGGCCGTAGCCGGCTGGCGGCTGGCGGCCGATGGCGGTGGGCGGGCGGCGCTGGGCAAAGGCGAAGCGGCCGGCGGCGGCGTTAAGAGCGGGAAGGGCGGCGGCGGCAGCTGAGCGGGCGAAAGGCGGCCGGCGGTGACCGGCGATCAACTTCCTCTCCCACGGAAAACATTTTCCCTCCCATGGGCAATTTTGCCTTCACTTTGGGGGAAAATGATTTCCTCTTTGTGAAAAGAGGAAATCATTTTCCCCAAAACAATGCAGGATTTAAGGGTGGGGAAGGAAAATGTTTTCCCACGGAAAACATTTTTCGCCCCCGAACACCGGAAAACACGAAAAATGTTTTCCGGAAAAATATTTTTCCACAAACGAACACATCCCAAAAATGAGAATCATTTCTGAGAGAACTCTTTCTTCGAAACACATGTTCATCTGGAAGTCATGATCTTTGAGGTGGGAAAAAAAAGCAAAAAATCAAAAATTTTAAAACTTCACATAATGGTTTAAAATCTGTGGCTACCCACTTTGAGCCAAATTTAAATTTTTTTAGGTGCCAAAAAAAATAAAAAAAATCAAAAATTTCAAAATTTCACAAAATGGCTTAGAATACCTATGGCCACTCACTTTGAGCGAAATTTAATTTTTTTAAATGCCAAAAAAAATAAAATATAATCAAAAAATCTAAAATTTAAAAACTTCATAGAATGTCTTAAAATACATGTGGCCACCCAATTTGAGCGAAATTTAGTTTTTTTTAGATGCCAAAAAAATTAAAAACAGCAAAAAATAAAAAATTTCAAAACTTCACAGAATTGCTTAGAATACCTGTGGCCATCCACTTTGAGCGAAATTTAAATTTTTTTATGTGTCGAAAAAAATAAAAAAAATAAAAAATTTCAAAACTTTACAGAATGGCTTAGAATACCCGTGGCCACCCACTTTGAGCGAAATTTAATTTTTTTTAGATGCCAAAAAAATAAAAATAAGCAAAAAAGCAAACATTTCAAAACTTCACAAAATGGTTTAAAATACCTGTGGCCACCCACTTAGAGCGAAATTTTATTTTTTTAGGTTCCTAAAAAAATAAAAAATAAAAAGCAAAAAATTAAAATTTTAAAACTTCACATAATGGCTTAGAATACATGTGGCCATCCACTTTGAGCAAAATTTTAATTTTTTTAGGTGCCGAAAAAAATAAAAATATAAAAAATTTCAAAACTTCACAGAATTGCTTAGAATACCTGTGGCCACCCACTTTGAGCGAAATTTAATTTTTTTAGGTGCCGAAAAAAAATAAAAATAAGCAAAAAAGCAAAAATTTCAAAACTTCACAGAATGGCTTAGAATACCTGTGGCCACCAACTTTGAATGAAATTTTATTTTTTTAGGTGCCGAAAAAAAGAAAAAATCAAAAATTTCAAAACTTCACAGAATGGCTTTGAATACATGTGGCCATCCACTTTGAGTGGAATTTAATATTTTGTAGGTGCCGAAGAAACATTAAAAAAAAAAAATACCATTTGGGCACCTAAAAAAATTAAATTGCACTCAAAGTGGGTGGTTAGAGGCATTCTAAGTCATTCTGTGAAGTTTTAAAATTTTTTATTTTTTTATGTTTTTATTTTTTTTTTGCACCTAAAAAAATTTAAATTTCACTCAAAGTGGGTGGCCACAGATATTCTAAGTCATTCTATGAAGTTTTGAAATTTTTGATTTTTTGCTTTTTTTTCATCTCAAAAAATTAAAATTTCACTCAAAGTGGGTGGCCACAGATATTCTAAACTATTCTGTGAAGTTTTGAAATTTTTGAGTTTTTGAATTTTTTTAGACACCTTAAAAAATTTAAATTTCACTCAAAGTGGGTGGCCACATGTATTCTAAACTATTCTGTGAATTTTTGAAATTTTTGAAATTTTTGATTTTTTTTGGGCACTTAAAAAAATTTAAGTTTCACTAAAAGTGGGTGGCCACAGGTATTTTAAGTCATTCTATGAAGTTTTGAAATTTTTGATTTTTTGATTTTTTTTGAAAAAATTCAACAAATTTCCTATTTTCTAGCAAAATCTGAATTTTTTTTATTTTTTGGAAATTGTGATGAATTTTTCTAGAATTTTTCAATTTTTTTGGATTTTTTGAATTTTTTTGAGATTTTTAGGAATTTTTTGGATTTTCTAATTATTTTTATTCCATTTAAAAAAAATGGATTTTTGTTCCTGGAAATAGAATTTTGTGTTGTTTATCAAACGGGTTTTTGTTTCAGGAAATAGAAATTTTGTGTTGTTATCAAACGGGTTTCTATTCCAGAAATAGAAATTTTTTGTCGTTATCAAACGGGTTTCTTTTATCAGAAACTCATCCTGGAACCAGAAATAGAAAAATCTATTTCTGTTTCAGGAACTCATTCCGGAACAGAATGGTTATCATTCACTACCTAAGTGTCCGCAAGGCCATGGAATGTATCCTCGAGTAATTGGGTCACTAAAGCCCAAAGGAGAAATAGCCTACCGAGTGATTGGGTTCTTTATCCTCCTCCGAGTCTTTGGAATTTACTGTGTTCTGAAGCCCATGGAATGTATTCTCAAACTTCTTATGATTAAATAAATATACTAGTTTATGACAAAAAAAAAATTGACCAACTCTATTAGTCATCGTTAAAATCATATAAATTAGAGTAACGATATCAACATTTCTGTTCTAATCTCGCAGGGTAACGACATTTTACAATATTTAACAAATTATTCAAACATGGTAACGACTAATTATTAGAAGGGTTAATACCGTGAAAAATCCTAAACTAATATACCTGTGATAAATTTATCCCAAACTAATTTTTTGACTATAAAAAACCCCAAACTACACATATGACAAGTTTACCCTAAACTAATTTTTTGACCATCAAAAATCCCAAACTGGTACATTTGTGACAAATTTACCCTCCATTAAATTGAATCTAAAAAAAATCACAAGCTAGTACACCCAAGACAAATGAAGAGTAAAACTTCAAACCGGTACATTCGTCTACTGCCATGTTTCATTTAACTAATCAATTTGACAGAAAAATTTAAAGGAAATTAATATAGGGTAAATTTATCACAGGTGTACCAGTTTGAGATTTTTGGTGATCAAAAAATTAATTTGAAGTAAATTTATTACAAATGTATCATTTGGAATTTTTCATGGTAATAATCCTTGTTATAATTTCCTAATTATTCAGAAGGTTTTTGGAGCCAACCAGATCGCCCGGAGAAACTTCCGAGGGCTCATAGAGAGGCCGGACCACTTTTCACGTCTCTTATTCATCTGAATTTGTCCTTTTGTGATTTTTTATTTTTGAAAAGTTTGGGTCGAATTTTACCTCGTGATTTCTTATTCGTTTTAAACCCGATTGACATGATTCTTGATGCGCTAGAAAGCTCTTAAGTTGAATTTTACAGAAACATCTTCCAATTGGAAAAAAAATCATGACTTGTACAAAAGTCATTGCGATTATGCGGTCCAAAGTAAAAAGCGCGAAACATCATGATTCAGGTTTCATAGTGGGTGAAATTGGTGTACCGTTGGAAAGGTCGTAACGAATGCTATCCAATTTCACCATTTGAGCGGGCTTTTGACAAAGTTTGAGCTCGGGTCAAAGCTGATCAAACCTTGATCAAATTCCTAAAATAGGTGAAAAATAAGGTGTTTCCAGTCACTTCACGTAAAAGATGGGATGACCTCATCTTAATCTTTCACTAAGCGGATGTATATTGAAGCATACATCAATGTGTGCACAGTGACATACATCAATGTGTATTAAACTATACTTGCAATTGAATCTCATCACATGATTGTCAATTACACATTGCATCGCCAAAACATTGCATATGATCATTGTTCGAGTATCGATGTCTCTCATTATAATCATATACAAATACATTTTACTTGCCCTAACAACAAAAGATATTTCAGACAGACAACATCACTACCTTCTCGCATCTTTAAGTTCGAAAGTGCGTTGGCGTGAGCGCTCGGGTTAGGACCATGGCATTCTTGAAGGGAACTCATGATCAACAGCGCTTTTACCACTCATTAACTAAAGAAATTCGCTGCATCATGTACAGATTCACGATATACAGCTAACGAATAATGTGTATTTTACTGCCGGAACTTCACTCGGCCATTCTATTCGGCCAAGATGACATGCAAGGAATGCTTTGCTCGTACCTGAAGAAGTTCCCAGGATCGACCATCGTCTTCACTCTCACCAATCTATCGAAATTGCCCTTGAAGTACTTGGTCCCCCAAATGCTGGCCTCGGAGTAGCTTTCATTGCCGATTCGATTGATGCCCAGATCAGTATCTCTGTAGTTCAGGTAGGAACTCCTCGGCGATTTCGCCACGAACGGAGTCATGTGATCGTACAGACTCCTTATCCGATGCAAATTTTGATTCAAAGCCTCGTCGCCTTCCTCCTTCCAAGTGACCGAGTACTGGATCTTGAAAATGTTCCCCGCCCTGTGCGGAAACGGGGTCTCGGACTCTGAGACCTCGCTCATTCTCCCGCCGTAAGGGTTGAAAGTGAGCGCCGGCCTTTTCAGCTCCATCATCTTATTCCATATCCCTTCGAGACCCACTTTCGAAATCGGCTCTTGCACGTAATCTGACTTCTTCTTCAAGAACTTCTCCGAGTCCGGGATTCTTTGGAGCAATACATTTGGGGATGTTCCGTTAGGATAATTGGACCAGAACAGAACCGATTCAATCCAAGTCATCTCAATGCAATCCTTAGGTTCCAACCCGAATTCGGGAAAGCTCTGAGACATTACATCGAGCAGCTCATCTGCACCACCCAGAAACAGGGCCACAAATTTAGCTTTCACTGTCCTCTGATCTTTCCTCACAACTGGTAGCAACACAACCCTGAGGAACAATCTCTCATCGATCTTGTCAGCCACGTATTGCCATCTATGAACAACATTGGTCGCTCCTTGCTCCAGCGTCTTCTCGACCTTGAAGACGGTGACCACCTCCGGCACGGGCACCAGCTTGATCTTCCACGACACAATCACTCCGAAGCTCGCCCCGCCGCCGCCCCGGATCGCCCAGAACATGTCGTCGCCCATCGACTCTCGATCCAAGACCCTCCCGTCGGCATCCACGACGACCGCATCGACCACGTTGTCCACCGACAGCCCGTGCTTCCTCATCAAGTTCCCGTACCCGCCCCCGCTCAAGTGGCCCCCGACGCCGACGGTGGGGCAGACCCCGGCGGGGAACGCGCGGGCCCCGCTCTCCGCCGCGATCGCGTGGTAGACTTCCCCGAGCGTCGCCCCCGACTCGACCCAGGCGGTCCCGCCCGCCGCGTCCACCTCGACGGACCGCAGGTTGAACATGTCCACGACGGCGAACGGAGCCGGCGACACGTAGGAGAGGCCGTCGTAGTCGTGGCCCCCGCTGCGGATCCTCAGCTCCAGCCCGTGGATCTTGGCGCAGGCGACGGAGGCTCGGATGTGGGAGACGTGGCTCGGGGTGACGATGAAGACTGGCTTCGGGGTGGTGGACGAGTTGAAGCGGAGGTTGCGGACGTAGGACCGGAGGACGGAAGAGAAACAGGGGCTGCTGGGGAAGAATGTCAGGGGCGAGATGGGTGGGGATGATGGGTCGGAGCTGTCGATGAGGCACTGGAGATACGCCTCCTGGGTTCGATCCTGCGGCGATTCCGCCATGGAAGGTGAGAGCAGGGAAGCTTGGAGGGCAAGGAGAAGCACAGAGCAGTAGCGTGGAAGAAGATTCATCGTTCGGGAAATGGTCGTCGGAGTTTTGACTTTGGTTGACCTAGCACGCTTCCCAGGTGGAAGAGGAAGACGACGACGAAGGGCTTATGTCCCGTGGGCATCACTCCAGTCCAGCCTGGCGTTGAAACTTGAAGCGGCTCTAGTAGAGCCACGCGTTGTTTTGCCTTTCCAAGTGAAATGAACTACCTGGTATGTATGGCAGTTTGAAAGTTATCTTTTGCAGGATTGTAATAAACATAATTTAGTTTATTTTAATTTCAGGATTAATAACATGAAAAGCCTCAAATTGATATACTTGTAATAAATTTATCAAAAATTAATTTTTTATCACAAAAAGCATCAAACTGGTACACCTGTGATAATTTTACCTTCCGTTAGTTTCCATTAGATTTTACAGTCAAATTTCTCAATTGGATGTGTATCAATTTTGGGTTTACCCTTCGTTCGTCACAAGTGTACCAGTTTGTGATTTTTCATAGTATTAATCCAATTTAATGGAAGATAAATTTATCACAAATGTATCAGTTTTGGGTTTTTAATAATAAAAAAATTAGTTTGAAAAAATTTGTCACAAGTTTACCAATTTTGAGTTATTTATGATCAAAAAATTAGTTTATGGTAAATTTATTACAGGTGTACCAGTTTAGAGTTTTTCATGGTATTAACCATTAATTTTATGACGTACTTTTATTATCTTGCATAGTATTTTATGGAAATAGTTCGAATAAATGTCTTAAATCGAAAGTAGTGATAAAAAAAACAAAAGGTGATAGAATGGGAGGGACCCAAGAGAACAAAAAGTTATAATCAAACTAACAAGGTTCGATCCGGCCAAAAACAAAAGAACTAACGAGGTTCGTGGAACCGTGTCTTAAATCCCAAAAATCGAGATTGCGTCCACGCAATTCCTCTTTATCCGCGCAGGTTGAAACTTAAAAGTGAAGGCACACGCTTGAAGTAACATCCTTGTTAACAACCAAATAATGCCCTTGATCGACACAAAACAAAGGAAGAAGTTTTTCTTCCTTCTCAGCTATTCCCCCAAGGGAGCTTCGAAATAGAGTGAGCTGGGTTGGATCAACCCATCATGGGCGGCCCATCTCAATCCAAAAATCACAACATCTCCCCCTCGTATATTGTGGGTTGGACAATGGATCAATTCACACGGGCATATTGGTCATACGACTGGCGAGAACACCTGCATTTAGCTTACCATGCACTGGTTAAGGTTACACAAAAGTTGTGATAAACAATCTCGTTGTATCCTAAACACAATTTGTTATATCAGCCCAACACCTTTGAACCTTCAGAAAAAGAGTGCTCGACTCAATCATGTATTCACAATCAGATCATAACTGCTTAAGGTAAACATAAATGGTCGGCTGGTGTATACATGTACCAATGTAAACACATATCGATCTTCCTTTTCTACTCGAATCTCTCCATTTGAACTTGGCTGGTTTCCTAACATGTCCTAAAGGCCACATCATTCTTGACTAGAGAAATCATGACTCAGCAGTAGTCAATAGATCTAGATTTTAAGCATTTTCAAAACTCAACTTCGCACTAAAGGCCTTTGAGATTGTGCTACCAAACAATAAAACTTTGTCTTTAAGGGCCTTTGGAGGTCCAAATCTCTTTGAAAATGCTGCGCCAAACGCAGCTTAAATGGTTTTTATAGCCTTGAGGATTTCACACGGTGGAGTGGACGCATTAATTTCAATAGATACAATTTTCCCTTACACTATCCAATTGGTCAGCACAAGCGGTATGAATCACGTGTTATGGTATTTCATTCTCTCCTTGGAGCATCTGTTAGCGTTAGTTTTTTTTTGGGTCAGTGTCAGTGTTAGTTGTAAACTTGTAATGCACACATAAACATTGTAAAAACCTCAGCTAGTCATCATAATTTGACTAACCCGAAATCTCAGAGGGAGGCATTCTCAATTTTTTATTCCTTAATATCAGGTGCATTTGATATTTCTTGTCTGGCCTACTACAGGTTTCGTGGATCTTTAGAATATCCAGTTGATGTTAATTTATATGACATCCATTGACCTCATCTCATTCTTACATCTAGTTGACTCATAATTATTGCTAGGCATGATCTCTCCCTGTGGTGTTTTTGAGCTCAAGAGTCTCATCTCTATGCATGCCACCACCAGTACTAGAGACAATTGCCCGTATGAGAAAGCAATCTCAAGCCTGTCTGACATTCCTATTATTCACAATTCATATGTCTACCTGTTGGCCCATTATAACCACACTTCCTTGGCCCATTGTGATCGGTCCGCAAATCCAATAACTGATTGGATTACTAAGACCCAACGGAGGAATACCCCGTCCTATTCTTGGGTGGCCCGTCCTCCCAACCTCTATGAGATTAGTTATGTTTGAATGCCCCTTTGTCGGGTTTTCTTGACCGAAAAAAATGAAAGAAAAATATTTCATATGTCTACGCGTGTTAGCATTCACTTCATAGATGATTACAGTTCATCTTAAGATCATCAAACACATTCAAAACAGAAGCAAACTCATGTCTTTCATTTACTCCTACAGAGTATATTACATGTCTCAATGTACGTGCCTATCTTGCACTTCCTTTTGGAAGAGGCTTTGCGATATGATCTGCTATTCGCAGATAAGCAAGGATGGTTTAATCAAAAGCCGTGGATGTTGTTTGATAAGCTACCTTTCCTATTAAATGCTTTGATTAGTTGAAAAAAAAAAGAGATAATGACACAAACAGTTCCTGAACTTTGATCCAATGTGCAATTTAGTCCCTGAACTTTTAATTTGTTCAATATAGTCCCTGAACTTTAGCCTAATGTTCAATTTAGTCCCTGAGCTCTTAATTTATTCAATATGATCTCTGGACTTTTGGTATATGTTCAATTTAGTCCCTGACCTATATGAAAATGTTCAATGTAGTCCCTGAACTTGAATTAATGGAATGACTACATTAAACATTTTCATATATTTCAGGGACTAAATTGAACATGTACCAAAAGTTCAAGGACCACATTGAACAAATTAAAAGTTCAAGGACCACATTGTGCATTGGGTTAAAGTTCATGGATTACATTGAACAAATTAAAAGTTCAGGGACCACATTGCATATTGAGCCAAAGTTCAGGGACTGTTTGTGTCATTTTCCAAAAAAAAAACCACAAAACATTAATTTGATACCCGTGCATCAAGAATTGGATTTTTAAGAAGAAAAAAGGACAGGTTTGGACATTTGCTTATTGTAGAACATTTTCGAGGGGTTACGTTTTCTTTTTTTAACAAGTTGGGACTTTTTTTTTTAGGTGAAGTTTGCATCTTAAATCTCAACTTTCATCACTCGTAAGTCATAACCACACCAATCTTCACTTCGAATCACCATTTTCCAATTGCCAGCAAAAATAGAGACAAGGGCATTCGTTTCCATGACAGAATCAAGATAAATTGCGAGGACAATATGGTCTGCTTCTATTTCTCATCATTTTCCTCCCCTTGATGCAATTATCTGGACACGTGTCTTACGAAGATATACTTTAAATGATATCATTTCCAAATCTAATATTTGATGAGAGAACAATAATTTTTCAACTAAAGTCGTATTCGCGAAATTGGGTCTTATACCACCAAATTCGTAATTGAGTTACACGTACAAGTTAAGCCCTATCAATTTCCTTTTATGGATAAATAGTCTTTACAGAAATTAATCTTAAATGGACGTCAATGTAAGATGCTACGTAAATCGTCATCAAGTTTTCCAATATATTGTACTACGAAACAGAAACCCTTGTCCTCGACGGAAACCGAAATCAAAAGCTAGTACTCTTTAACCCTGCTTGTCAAATTATATTTTGGAACTTTATTAGGTCCACTGCAAGTAAACCTGCTAAGCGACCGGGGCGGCGATGATCGGGCTCGGTTGGATTTTTTAAATTCATTGAGCGGGCACGGGCAAAATATTCGGGCTCAACAGGTGAGTAGCAGGGCGTGTAAAGGGCCTTGACTGCCGGCTCGAGCCTATAATTATTAACTGTATATACAATCATGTTTTATTAAAAGTTCAATCTTGATATTTAAAATATATAAACACAAACACGACAAAGATAAGCTCAAATTTATAATGTAGGATGGAGAAATAGTATTAAACTCATAAGTAAAGTGATAAAATGTAATAATAAAAGAACTAACACTTAATTTATTCATTTTTTCACATTCATTTAATTTATTCATTTTAAATTGATTGTATATATTAGGGATAATGACACAAACAGTCTCTGAACTTTGGCTCAATGTATAATTTGATCCTTGAACTTTTAATTTGTTCAATGTGGTTCCTGAACTTTTGGTACATATTTAATTTGGTCCCTGAACTATATGAAAATATATAACATAGTCTCTGAATTTGAATTAATGGAAGAACTGCATTGAACAATTTTATAAAGTTCGAGAACTATATTAAACATGTACCAAAAGTTCAGGGACCACATTGAATAAATTGAAAACTCAAAGACCACGTTGAACATTGGGTTAAAGTTCAAGGACTACATTGAACAAATTAAAAGTTTATGGACCAAATTGCATATTGAGTCAAAGTTCAGGAACTGTTTGTGTCATTTTCCCTATATATTACTACTCGCCAATAAAAAAGTGCCAAGAAAGCCCAAGAAAGAAGAATGAAGACCTAATATCACTCTCTTTATTCTGGTTCACACATTATGCTTTATTCAACATACAAACTTTCTGACCAAAAAAAAAAAAACATACAAACTTAAAGTCCTCAGAGCTAAGGAAGAGTCTATTGTGAAGGACCAGCAGAAATGCAATTATCTGTCGGGCGCTTACTTTCTTTTTACGGGGGAAGAATTGGAACGCTCTGTTCATTTCTGAAGAAATTAGCAGGATCGACTTTGGTCTTTATCTCCACCAACCTGTCGAAATTGTCCTTGAAGTACTTGACCCCATACACTTTCCCTTCCTCGTAGCTCTCATCTCCATTGTGGTTAATTCCCAAATCAAGGTCCCTATAATTGAAGAACGCATCTCTCGGGTTCTTCGACACAAAGGGCGTCATGTAACGATAGAGCTTCCTCGTCAGCTTAATGTAGTGTCGTGCCGCTTCCTCCCCGGACACGTTCCAATCTGTCGCATATTGTACCTTCCATAGGTTCCCGGCCCTATGCGGAAATGGGGTGCTGTTCGCGGGAATCTCGCCCATCTTGCCTCCATAAGGGTTGAAGGTCAACCTCGGCTTGTCGAGCTTGATCATCCTCTTCCAAATGAGCTCCAATCCGTCCTTCGGTATGATTTGCTTCACGTAGTCGGACTTTCTCTTCAAATGTGTCAAGACATGCGGCGTGCGCGATAGCAAAGCATCGACTTTAGTCTCGATCGGGAAGTCGTACCAATAAAGCGTGGACTCGACCCAACTCATTTCGATGCATTCTGAGCTCCGCAAGCCTAGCTCGGGAAAACTATCGCTCATCAAGGAAAGAAGCCTTTGAGCGTCTCCAAGGAAAAGCGCGCGAAACCAGGCTGTTAGTGTTCCGTTGGTCACGACCATAGTCAGCCTTATGAAGAGATCCTCATGCAGCTTGTGTGCCACTTCTTCCCACTTGTACACGATCTCAGTCGCGTTTTGCTCCCGCGTCTTACTGACATTGAAGACAGTCACCGTCTCAGGGACTCGGACAAGGTTGATCTTGTAAGCGAGGATGACGGCAAAGCTCGCTCCGCCTCCGCCTCTTATGGCCCAAAAGAGGTCTTCTCCCATGGATTCCCTATCCAGTATTTCCCCACTGACGTTGATTATGTGCGCGTCGACGATGTTGTCGACGGAGAGCCCGTACTTCCTCATCATGTTGCCGTAGCCGCCGCCACTAAAGTGGCCACCGACGCTCACCGTGGGGCAAACGCTAGCGGAAAAGCCATGGACCTTGCTCTTCGCGGCTATTCCATAGTAGACCTCGCCGAGGGTGGCCCCTGCCTGGACCCATGCCGTCTCGGCCTCGATGTCAATGTCAACCGAGCGGAAATTAAGCATGTCAAGGATGAAAAATGGCGAGAAGATGGAGACATAGGATATGCCCTCGTAGTCGTGGCCTCCGCTTCGGATGTTCATCTGGACTGAGAGCTTTTGGGCGCAAATGATGGCGGCTTGCACATGAGACTCATGGAGTGCCGTGAGGATGAGAGTGGGTTTCGGCGTCTCGGAGGTGTTGAAGCGCAAGTTTCGTATGTAAGATTGAAGAACGGTTGAGAACGAAGATTCGGCGGGTGTGTTTATGGCTGAGATTATTGGGTGCGAAGGTTGGGAATGGTTTATGAGGCATTGGGTTAGGGTTTCGTTTGCAAAGGCTTCAGAAGGGGAAGAAAATGAAGCTAGGAACAACACTAGTAGAGAAAAGACGTAGATGGTTTTGGAGTTTGGAAATGAAGTTCCCATTTTAGGGTTTAGTTAAGATAGTTTTGCTGGGTGAGATAGATAGTTTTGCATGTTAGTCTTTTATAGGAAATGGGGTTGGCTTTTTATTTTGTCCGTCATACTCTAATTCTCAACTCACTTTCAGACTTTTACCCTGCCTCTTTGCAGAGCGTAAAAGTCGAACCCGCATTTAAAACTAAACGTCTCCACTCCTAGCCCCCTTGAGAAGGTGGGGAATTGAACTCGAAATGGGATTGGCTTAGAAGTTAGAAAAAATGAGAGAATCAATGGAAAATTTGTCCAAACAATAATAAACTCATTACTTTTTTGCCAATTTAGTCCTAAAGGTTTTTAATCATGCCAATTGAGTCATAAATATTTTTAAATTTTGCCAATTAAAGTCCATTCGATCAATTTTGATCGAAAATCGCTGATGTGAACGCCGACCATCCTATGTATGACTCTTACGTGGTATGGCTGGCATTGGTGTGGGCAATTTTTAATATATTCTTTTATTTTTCCTTTTTTTCTTTCCTTCTCTTTCCATTCTTTTTTTTTTCTTTTCTTTATTCTTTATTATTTTTCCCTTATTCCCTCCACTAGGCCTCGTCGATGGCCAGCAAAAGTCACCGAACTCAGGTGTAGGTCGCCCTTGCTGGCCTCAGGTAAGGGATGCTCGGGCCTAGGTTGGCGAGGGCAGTCCTTCACCAGATCCGAAAGGGTCGCCCTCGCTAGCCTAAGCCAGGGCATCCCTCGCCCAAGGCTAGCGAGGGTCGCCCTTGCTTGAGGCTGGTGGAGGGAAAATGATAAGAAAATAAGAAAAATAAATAAAAGCAAAATAATAAAAAAAATAAAAGAAAAATTAATAAAAATTCGAAAAGAATATTAAAATTTGTCCACATCAACATCAGCCATGCTACGTAAGACAATCGGTGTCCATGTTTGCGATTTCCGATCAAAATTGATCGGATGAATTCAATTAGAAAAATGTGACAAGACTTGATATTTAATTAATATAATTAAAAAGTTTAGGACTGAATTAGAAAAAGTGTAATAGATTTAAAACTTTTTGGCCAATTTTCTTGAGAATCGATAATTATTGAAATGAGAAGATGCCGATATTGACTGGAAAATTCCAACTGCGGACCATTTACATTTTTCGTTGATGTATAGTTTCTCATTAATGGAGAAATTGACGTTCCCTAAATCTTTTTTAGCTACTTTATACACACTTGCGCTAGGACTTAAAAAAAAAAAAAATCTTGCGCTTGGACAAGAACTTCAGGGGGATCTTATCCTTACAATTTTGAGGTCATAATTTGATAAAGCCAACTTACGAAAAGTAAGAGGGTCGCTGTTCTTAGTTGATGATGATTGTGATATCGTTAATGGAGAAATTGGCTTTCCTTAATTCACTTTAAGTAATTAAAATGTTTAGGACTGCATTAACAAAAATGTAATAAGTTTACGATTTTTAGACAATTTTCTCGAGAATCGACAATTATTGAAATGAGAAGATCTTACAAACAGCTCCAATATTGACTAGAAAATTCAAACTACAAATCTCATTAATGGAGAAATTGGTGTTTATTAAATCGTTTCAGCGACGTGATAAATACTTGCGCTAGGACCAAAAATAAAATACGTGCGCAAAGTCATGCACTTCTTCTGGAGCTCTTATCCTTACAATTTTTTAGGTCAAAAACTTGCTTGGATCAGGATGCAAGGCTAAGCCTGATCAAGGAGTCTCTATTTTACTACAAGAGACGCTAGGGGTGATCAACCCTTACACATATGAATGTACTGTTAGTCGCGATAAAATGACACCAAGATCTCCATAGCTAGAATCTAGAACATATATAATCGAGTAAAAATAATTTGCGCACTCGATTTGGAATCCATCATTCTTGATGTGGAATAGCGACAATCCTCAGCGCAAATCTTCTCCTCTATTACCTCTTTATCACTTGCTCAATCTCTTTCGGATAGCGTTTGCTCCTTATTTGAGATATGTATGTGTTAGGGTTAGAGGGAGGACTTGAGCTCTATTTATAGCGTTTTAAGCCATGCCCTCTCATCACGAGCTAGGCCTTACTCGGCCCACACTAGCCAGTTCCATATTAAACTATTTAAAAAACTTTATATCTTACTTAATTAGATCAACTCCGTAAAATGGTATATTACAATATCAACTAATGTAGCCCACATCAGAAAAACTATTACATGTACAAGATGGGTTCTAGCAATAAGTTAGACTCTCGTACTGATAGAATTCATTTCAATGTTGAAAAAGCACGATTGTCCTTCCACATTTACTCTTGCAATCCTATATCTTTTTCTTCAAAAGTGTACATCCCCCAAAGTCATATGACACGGTTTCTCTGTAGTAAATAAGTATGTGATGTTACCATAGATAAGATAGAGCCACACCAATTACACATACTTCATGCATTTTGTCTATCGGAGACCCTGCCTCCTAAAGTCATGCTACCGTAGATGCTTTACAGGCATCAATAACCTCGAACCGTCTACTGCAATCTTGGGTTGATGTGATTATGATATGTTACTGACTCCATCAAATCCCGCCATCTTTTTCGCATTTAATCTCTGAGAAGTTTGCAGATAACTAATGCAATAACTCGTATCTGTCTTATAGCTTTCACAGAGACAACATCATCTTAATATCAAGAAAGTGACCCATAAAAACTAATAGGCTCATTTGGCAGACTCTTAAAATGTCATTGGGCATGTTGCAGGGAGTGTCTTGAGTGGCAGTGGGAGCACGCCACTTCCAGAGGCGAGTGCAGAGGATTAGGTCAATATGATAAATGACTATCAGAAAGGTTCTTTGTCCAGTAGATTGGGTATCCCAATGATATATGGAATAGATGCTGTTCATGGGCACAATAACGGGTACAATGCCACAATTTTTCAGCATAATATTGGTCTTGGTGCAACAAGGTAAAAAACAGTGTTACTTCTTGCATATATTGTAATGTTTTGGCTTTAAAAATTATCTACCCTCTAATGTGGATAGAGTTCTGAGAGACTGTCCTGTCCGATTTTGTACTGCATCAATTTTATATCAATTTCCCAAATACCAGCACGTGACTTGGGAGGTTTAGTAATCTGAATTACTATCATTCGGTTTGAACTTTTGCTGGCCTGTTCCTCCTTCAAGGCTGGCCAGGGTGGCCTTGCTTGAGGCCGGCGCAGGGAAAATGAGAAGAAATCTGAATTACTATCACACGGCCTCACTTGGGATTTTATTGACATAATTAAAGGTTTAAGACTGAATTGACAAAAATGTAATAGGTTTAGAACTTTTTAGTCAATTTTCTCGAGAATCGATAATTATTGAAATGAGAAGATCTTACAGGCCACCCCCAATCTTGACTGATTCGTTGATGGAAAGTATCTCATTAATGGAGAAATTAACGTTTCTTAAATCTTTTTTAGCTACTTTATAAATACTTGCGCTAGGACCCAAAAAAAAAAAAAACTTGCGCATGGATAAGAACTTCAGGGGATCTTATCCTTACAATTTTGAGATCAAAACTTGATAAAGCACACTTACGAAAAGTAAGAGGGTGGACGTTCTTAGTTGATGATTGTTATGATATCGTTAATGGAGAAATTAGCTTTCCTTAATTCTTTTTCAATAATTAAAATATTTAAGATTAGATTGGCAAAAGTGCAATAAGTTTATAACTCTTTAGATAATTTTCTCGAGAATCGACAATTATTGAAATGAAAAGATCTTACAGGCCACCGCCAATCTCGATTGGAAAATTCCAAAGTATCTCATTAATGGAGAAATTGACGTTTTTTAAATCTTTTTTACCTACTTTATAAATACTCGCGCTAGGACCCAAAAAAAAAAAATACTTGCACATGGACAAGAACTTCTGGGGATCTTATCCTTACAATCTTGAGATCAAAACTTGATAAAGCCAACTTAAAAAAAGTAACAGGGTCAGCGTTCTTAGTTGATGATTGTTGTGATATCGTTAATGGAGAAATTGGCTTTCCTCAAATCTTTTTCAGTAATTAAAATATTTATGACTGGATTGATAAAAGTTCAATAAATTTACGACTTTTTAGACAATTTTATCGAGAATCGACAATTATTGAAATGAGAAGATCATACAAACGCCTCCAATATTGACCGGAAAATTCGAACAACAAATCTCGTTAATGGAGAAATTTATGTTTATTAAATCGTTTCAGCAGCTTTATAAATACTTGAGGAAAATTGTCAAATCAGTCCAGAACCTTTTAATTTTGCCAATTCAATCCTAAATCTTTTAAATTTTTGCCAATTGAGTCATTCCGGCCAATTTTGACCGGCCGGCACTGACGTGGCCTCCGGCAGGCGCCGGCCGTTCGGTTAACGCTGACGTGGCAATTTTTATTTTTTTTTTTCAATTTTTTAATTTTTCTTCTTTTTTTTTCTGCTGTCTCCCCTCTGGCAAGTCCGGCAACCGGCGGCCGGCCAGAGGGGAGGGCCGGCGAGGCCTCTGGCGAAGCTCACCCCGCCGGCCCCTGGCTAGGCGAGGCGAGGTCGGCCTCACCTCGCCGTCGCGACCCAGGCGACGGCGAGGCTCGACCTCGCCTCACCTCGTCGTCGCCTGCGTCGCGACGGCGAGGTCGAGCCTCGCCAAGCCCGGATCTCGGCGAGGCTCGACCTCGCCGTCGCGACCCAAGTGACGGCGAGGCTCGACCTCGCCTCGCCATGAGTCGCGACCCGGCGACGGCAAGGCGAGGTGAGGTCGGCGAGGCGGCGAGGTCGCTCGCCTCGCCGTCGCACCGGGTCGCGACAGGCGAGGCGAGGTCAAGCCTCGCCGTCGCTGGGTCGCGACGGCGAGGCGAGGCCGACCTTGCCTCGCCTCGCCGTCGCGACCCGGGCGACGGCAAGGCGAGGCGAGGCGAGGCGAGGCGAGGTCGAGCCTCGCCGTCACCTGGGTCGCGACGGCGAGGCGAGGTCGAGCCTCGCCTTGCCGTCGCTTGGGTCGCGACGGCGAGGCGAGGCCGACCTCGCCTTGCCTAGCCAGGGGCCGG